CACCCCACCCCACCCCACCCCCTGCAGCCCCAGAAGACAGGTTTCCTCCCCTTGTACCTGTTGCTTCTTCAGTCCCAGGATCCCTGTTCTGCTTCTAGTCGCAACAGCTCTCTGCTGCTGAGGGGAGGGGGGTGTTGGCCCAACCTCTATGTGGCTCCCATTGGACAGTTGGCCTGATTAGCAGCCCAGGGTGCTCTCCCATTGGCTGTCAGCAAAAGGGGGTCGGGACAGGGGGGGGGGTTAAGAGCCTGAGATTGGTACCCTCCCACCCACCTGAGGATGCTGTTACCAGGGGCAACCTCCAGCCTCTGACGTTAGCTTGGGAGCAGTGAGGATGGAGATGGCGACTGGGCATGGTAACCCGTGTGACGTGCCTGGCAACTTGGCATGGTAACCTGGGCATCTTGGCACAGTAACCTTGGCTACTTGGCATGGTAACCTGGGCAACCTGGCATGGTAGCCTGAGCTACATGCCCAGCAACCTGGCACAGTAACCTGGGCAACCTGGCATGGGAACTTGAGCAACCTGGTCATTTTACTTACCTGAGTAACCTGGCATGGTAACCTAGGCAACTCACCTGGGCAGCTTGGTACTGCAGCCTGGGCAATTTGCCATGGTAACCTGGACAACCTGGTGACCAGGCCTGGGATCATGGGTATCCTTGTAACCCGGGCAGCCTGGCCTGATGGCAATCTGGGAGCCTGCTGAGCGGCCTGGCAACAGGCCCTTGAAATCTCCCGGCCCGTGCCCCTGAGGAGGAACAAGATCCTGGTGCTGCCAGCTGGGAAGCTGCTGCTTCCCCCTGCAATGGACCTTGCCTGGGAGGTGCCGACCTGGGATAATCCAGCAGGGGGTGATGGATCCACCTGCTGCCAGATGTACAGACCCATCTGATGGGATGGTTGCTTTCATCCACGTTCCAAGCCCCCAGCCGGGCTGTGTACACAGTGACTGCCTTGGCAGGCAGCCAGGACTCCAGCTTTGTTCTCCCAGCTGGGGGAGGGCAGACGCTGGGAATCAGAACTCCTGGGTTCTGCTCGCTCCCTCCCCCCCAGCATAGGGAGAAAAGTGGGGTCTAGTGGTCAGTGTTAGGAGCCAGGACACCGGGGTTCCATGCCCAGCATGTGAGCCTAGTGATTAGAGCAGGCGGAACCGGGAGCCGGGACCTCTGGGTTCCACTCCGACCTGGGGAGTGGTGTCTAGTGGTTAGAGCAGGGAGGCTGAGCACCAGGCATTTAAAAGCTGGCAGCCCGCAGGCTCTTGGCAGGCAGGCAGTGGGGTGAGGCGCTGCCGTGAGCCCGCAGGCTGTGGGTACCACAATCCTAGCATGCTCCTCTCCAAGGCGTAACAGTCTCATGGGGACACCGGCTGAACTGCAAACAACCCCCATGCAGCAGGTGTAACCCAAGCAGTCCCACGTGCCCCAGCCTGCCGGTTCTGCTGGGGCCGGGCCGCCCGGGACACTCACTGAACCAGTTTCTCTGTGCACTGGGTGTGCTGAGGTTCTTCAGTTCAGAGATTGCTAGTCAGTTCATGCCTGAAGCCAACTGCACCTGCCCCCGAGGGGTGGGGCAGGAGGTGGGAGCTCAAGGAATCCTCAGCTGAGCTGCTACTGAATAGTTAAAGTTGGGGCGTAGTTTCCCCTTGCTAAGCACGGTCACGAATGTATGCACCAATTCATTCTCACCCCTCCCCCGGAGAGTAATGAGAGATACTACGGGCTTTTCTGTAACTGGCAGGCTGAGACACAGAGAGAGACTTCGTGGGGCCAGACACTGTGCATTTGTATTGCTATCGGGTGTATTATGGTAGCATAGAGGAGCCCTAGGCCTTGCTGGCTTCTGGAACACAGAAAATAGGCATTTTACAGATGGGGAAACTGAGGCACACGAGCACTTAGCACATAGCAACCCAACTCCAAGCTCCATTGTGCCAGCGAGAGACAATCCCTGACCTAAAGGGCTGCCAGCCTTGATCCACGGACAGCGGGAGAGAGAAACACGCAGAGAAGAGCTGTGGTTTGAAGCAAGTTCCCCAGCAGAGAAACAGAACCAGAACCCAGATCAGTACGTCTACAAAGAAGGGTTATTTTGGAATAACAAAATGCATGTCTACACTTTTTTCTTCACGCAGCGCACATTCAACCTGTGGAACTCCTTGCCAGAGGATGTGGAGAAGGCTAGGATTTTAACAGGGTTCAAAAAAAAGCCAGATAGCCATTGATGGACCTAACCTCCATGAATCTATTAGCCAGGATGGGTAGGAATGGTGTTCCTAGCCTCTGTTTCTCCGGAGGGGGGTGACAGGAGAGGGAACACGTGAGGATTACCTGTTATGATCCCTCCCTCCGGGGCATCTGGTATTGGCCACTGTCAGCAGACAGGATGCTGGGCTGGATGGACCATTGGTCTGACCAGTATGGCCATTCATACCTTCTTACACTATGAGCCTTTATTCTGAAATAATGTTGAGCGGGAGGACGTCTTACTCCGACTCCTGTACCGCTCATTTCACAAGGAGGAAGGGAAGCTGGAGGAAGAGCGCTTCCTGCTGTGCAGACGGTGCCAAAAGCCGAGTTAAGCTATTTCGACTTCAGCTGCGCAACTGACGTCACTGAAATTGGGTAGCGTCTGTCGACTTTAGCCCTGCTGTGTAGACGTGCCCTGGGAAACCATTCTGTCCCTCTAACCACTAGGCCACACTGCTTCTGGGGGGGAAGGACTAGCTCCCCATCTTCCACACTTACTCAGAGCCCTATCCCTCCTTGTTACCTTGTACCTTCTCCCCTGCTGCCAATGGAGCATTCTCCCAAGTGTTTTCCTGAACCCCCCTCAGCCATGGCTGAAATGCTGCCACCTCTGGGGTGGCAGGTGATGGCTACTCTGTATCAGGTGCCCCACCCTAAACAGCCCATCCCCCATTCAGCCGGGGATGCCAAGAGGAATTTCCCAGGTTAGAACCATAGAGCTGGAAGAGGCCTCAAGAGGTCATCAAGTCCAGCCCCCTGCTCTAGGCAGGACCAATCCCAACTAAATCAACCCGGCCAGAGCTTTGTTAAGCCGAGACTTAATCACCTGGTTGGTAGGACAGAAATAGGCAGCTGACAGGGAACAATTCCGGGTGGAACGAGAGGAAAATCTCAGCATCAGGGAGAGATTCTGATCTCAGTTCACATGTTTAAACCAGGTGCAAATCCTTTGATGCTGACATGTATGAATGTAAACTTGGACCCATTTATTTTTCCATTGACTTTTTGCTGCTAAACATCGAGCGGGTTAAATCCCAGTTTGGATAATGCATCCCTACAATTTTCCCCTTTGCTGCTGAAATGGGAATCAGTCCTCACTCCCCACTTTAAGGGGAAGTATGGCCCAGTGGTTAGCACCCCAACCTGCTCTCAGGAAATCTGGGTTGAACTCCCTGCACCTCCTGCGTGAGCTCAAGCAGGTCACTGCTGCACTGTGCCTCGGTTTCCCCATTTGTACATAGGGAGGGTAGCACTGCTCTACTTTGGGAGGATACGTGAGGCCCTTGGACAATGGGGCCCACCCCACAGTAAGGCCAATTAAGCTGTTGTGTGCTGTAAAAATCAGCCACTGCGGTCCACCCCAGAAGCAGCTGCATTTCAGTGACTTAAACTGTCAGTGCTTCAGAGGGTGGGGAGAGGCACGAAGTATGGAAACAGCGACAGCTCCTAGACAGGGGGTTGGCGGGGAGCATATGATTAAGGGGAACGCAGTGCAGGGGCGGAAAAGAGACGCATCCGAGCTCTGGCGATATGTTATTATAGAACTTTATTATCGTTTCTATTGAGCTTTAGAAAACATGGTAGGCGTCAGTGATACAGACAGCTGGTATGCTCCATTGGGCAATCCCCCAACTGTAAGGGCATCCCTCCTGCCTTCTGAAATGCCACCATGGAGTGGGGCAGCCCCTGATTTGCATGTGCTCCCACTAGGGAGCGGTCTCACCAGATGCCCTTGGGCATGGGACACTCGGATCCCCTGGTGGTCTGCAGGGATTAAACCCAGCTCCTCTGGACCTAAAAAGCACAAGCCTCTACTGCAGCAGCCTGATACATCGCTATGCACAGCCTAGCCACTAAAGGAACACAGCCAGGGGGTTACTGTGGGTCTGCCTCAGGCAGAGATTTTCCACCTGCCCCCTGGCCCATGCCCAGCCGGTTCAGGGCGTGGGCGGGACATCACACGCAGGGAAGAGCCTGGCCTGGTCGGCTCTCGGAAAAATTCCAGGCAGAGGGAGTCGGAAGCAGGGCAGATTGGAAATTAAAATCTGCTGGAGCGTAGGGGAGAAACGGCTCCCCGGATTATTGCGCTTGGCTTTATTTCTGCTCCGCTCCGGAGCGGGGAGACCCTGGGTGCCCCGAGGGGGATAAATTAAGTGCAGGGCGCATGGCAGCAGTTCGAAGGGAGCAAACACACTGCAAATGTGGAAGCCGTTTCATGCCCCCTCCCCGAGTGCGCAGGGGGCGGGGCTGGGCGGCTTCCCAATGGAAATCAAACAGCAGAGAGACGGGCTGGTTGCAGTTGGAGCGCAGAGGCCCAGGTCGCAGCATGGAGCCCAGAGGGGCCAGGGCGTGCCCCGGGCCGCCGGTCCCGGCTGGCGCTCAGGCCTTAGGAGTACATGGTGAGTTGCAGCCACTGCGGGGGAGGGGATGAGAGGTCAGGAGAGAGAGCAGAGCAGGGAAATACAAATACAGACCACTCCGAGTTAGCTATGGGGGTGGGAGGGGCATTCCCCACGGATCCAGTAGCATGTGTGGGGAGAGGGCGTTCCCCATAGACCCCAATAGGGTGGGATTGCAGGGCTGGGGAGGGCCACCCCATGGGGTACGTGCGCCCGCATCCCTGGACGGGTAGCTGGCGGCTTGGCTGGGGCTGTGGCCGCCCATCCCGCTGCTGGGAAGGTCCCGGCCAGCCTCGTGGACTGGGGGGGTCTGCGGAAGCTGGGCTGGACCCGCTGGCCCAGGAGGGCGCAGCCAGCCCTGCCAGGAGGCTACAGCAGGGAGAACCCAGTCGGGGTCCCGTGCTAGAGAGCATGAAGGGAACCAGCCTCACTCACCTCCTGGATGTTCACCCGGATCTGCCCGTTTCCGTCCTTATCCAGGGACTTGAAGGCACCTGCGGGAGAAGTGCGG